TTCCCGCTGGAGTGGTACCAATTTATCTACTTGCACTTTGACATGCTTTCAAACTGCTAGGTTGGCAGGAGCAGGGACCGAGCAATGGGAGCTCACCCCGTCGTGGGGATTCAAACTGCCAACCTTCTGATCAGCAAGTCCTAGGCTCTGTGGTTTAACCCACAGCGCCACCCACGTCCCTTCCAAAAATTTATAAGACAAGTACAAATACCTGCTGGAAATGTAAAGAGAAAGATGGTACCTTTTATCATATGTGGTGGTCATGTAAGGTAATGAAAGCTTTCTGGGAAATGATATATAATGAATTGGGGGGGGGTGTTTAAAATAATTTTTGTTTAAAAAAAACACAACCAGAAGCTTTTCTATTAGGAATTGCAGGTACCGACATCCTAAAGGAGCAGGAAAGACTTTTTATGTATGCAACAACAGCCTCACGGATGCTACTAGCCCAAAGATGGAAAGAAGGCAAAGTCCCCACGAGAGAGGAATGGCAAACTAAGCTGTTGGACTATGCCGAAATGGCAAAACTGACCAGAAAGCTCAGGAACCAAGAAGACAATAACTTTAAGAAAGAATGGGGAAAATTTATGATTTATTTAGGAGACCACTGTAAGCAGATGAAAACATTATCAGGATTATAATATCACTTGTAATGTAACAAATACAATGGATAGCGTGGAAAGATATAAAATATGGATTAGGTAATAATATGCAGCTGAAAATGCTGACAATGGAACCCATAGAGGGGATGGTGGGAAGTCAAGGGATTCAGAGAAAACTCTACATATGGTTATATATTTGGTAATGTGATAACTTTTTATATGTAAAATCAAATAAAAAATATTTTTAAAAAAATATGGAGACAGCAGCCAGGTTTCTGCAACACACAATGTGAATTCATGAATGTTATACAACAGGATTTTAATTGTTAGATAAAGATTTTGTTGAGTGGTTTTATTGCACTGAACCTTTTGGAATCTTGTCTATAAAGCTTTGAGATCAAGATTCCCTGTTTCTGTGCTAACCCCGTCAAGGGGTGACATTTTTTTTTATCTCAAACCCTGTATCTTTGACACATGCAACATGTATTTTAGATGGCCATGGTGACAGACTAGGGCAGGGAGTGGGGGCGGTAAGGCAGTAAGGACAAAAGAAAAATGAAAAGGGGTAGCAGTTAGCAGCCCCGGGTGCGTCCAAATGTTACAACACAATGCTGTGCCTATGTACCCAGATGCAAGTTCCATGGTGCTGAATGGAGTTTGCTTGGCAGATTGCAGCCAGGTTAAATCTAGCTTTGAACTTATTCAGTGGTTCAGATCCCAGTGCTGAATTGGCTTGATCTGGGGCTTCCAAGTCTCATTCAAATTGCATTCACTGGATAATACTTAGATGACCTATGTAAATTCATGCAAATGTGATTGCATCCAAGATGTTTCATATTAACTTCTTTCAAATGACTGTCAGACAATTTGGAAAAAAACAACATGCACCAGGTAAAGTGATATCCTTTATTGGACCAAAACATCATAAAGAAAAATACCTTTCCCCCCTTTGTCATTCTGTGCTCTGTGAGAGATTCCGCTTCTTTGGTTGCTAATGAAAAATCTGCAAGAATTTAAAGGCTTCCACTGCAAGGAGACATGCTCCATAATCTGATGGGCTCTCAAAGACCCTCTGTAAACAGTTTACATTTATCCGTGTGGTATTTATGGTTCAGGGTTTATTGTTTTAGTGTGGTTTCCATCCTAGCATGAGACTCCAGGACATTATTTTGGTCACGCTAAAAACAGATTAGAATTTCAGTGATTGACTTTAAGCAATCAAAAGCTTTTTCTTTATATAATTTATATGCAGGCTAGAAAGTCCTGGCAATAATTGCATATCATTCACTGCAAATACTCCAGATGCTTTTGGGAATAAGCCAAAAAGCAGTTATTCTGCTTCTCTTCTAGATATATTTTTCTAATCAGATAGTTCAGCTGGGAGATTGTTTGGTTTGGCCTCTGGAAAGAGAAATAATAGTAAACTGGCAAGGGGACTATTTTTCTAAAAGAGGGCAATAAAGCATTTTGAATAAGTTTGTCCCAGTGGTATATCTCTCAGCTTTACTTCCCCATGTGCCTTTTTTATAACACCCCCAGAAGATGTATTAACATTTATTTGTTTGTTCAATCCAATTAATCCGAGTTAAGTAATTTGCTAACAGCCATTGTGACTTTGTTCCACTTTTGCAGGTGGTGTTCCTTTATTGGTGCTTTCCATTTGCATCACAGTTTGAAAGCAGGCTGTATACAAAACTCCCATTTTCCCTGCATCCATTGTGCTCCTACCGCTGCACATGTGACGCTAGGCACAAATCACATCTCTCCTGTGAAATACTGCCTTGTGATGCATCTTCCCTCAAACCAACTTTGATCTGATTTGAAAAAAATAAGTCATCTGATGCTACTGGTGTTTTTTTAAAATGTTTTTATTGAAATATTTTCATGAATAGTAAGGGTACATACAATGTCTCTGATTTCAATTCCAAGAGTCCTTTCTACAGGTCGGTTACATTTGGTGTGAGACATTGATATCAAAAACAAACAGACAAATAAAGAACCTATCCTCAAGAAGTTGAAGCAAAACCTCTGCACATACACTAAGCAAAAGAATGAAATATCATTACCCCCTTTTTTCTCTCCCCAATTCTCTCCCCCCTAACCTCATGTGATGATATTGTTTCCCGCCACTCCAAGCTCCGAGCGGTGCAAAATTCCAGGGGTTACAGTTGCTTACCCGGAATGAGGTACAGCGGAGACTGTAGTGTCCTTATGATAAATGGTTTATTTACACAGATATACAACCGGAGCCTATGATGGAGGAGTTCACAGCATTAACACCCCAAGATGATCTTGCTTCTCCCATAGCTACAACCTTGGATTCAAGTAGAAATCAGGCATGGCTCTGACTCCTGGTTTCCCAGCCTACTTCTTGCTTCCAGCTTCTAGCTCATATAACTCAACCCTCCACTCTGGCCTTTGTCTTTCTAACTATCAGTGAGTTGAGGGTGAGTTGATATTGTGTGTCTAGGCATGCCTACTCTGGTGTCTGCTACGCTATCCTTACCCTTGCCGCATAATTCCTCTGAACTGGGCTGTTGAAAAATGGACCTTCAGCATGTAGCAATCTGTGCAAATAGGAACACTTGCATTGTTTGAGCAGCTGGAAACAAAATGGCTAGGTTGTGCTAGGGGAGTGGGGAGCAAGCGAAAGTAGGACTGCAATGATAGGGACCACTCACCGAAACATCATCACACATATGATTACACACACACAACACACACACACCAAAAAATGTGCCAATGAGCTTCCACAGCTGCAGTGACTATGAATGTATAACAAGTTATTTTTAGTTAATGGATTTTCCATGGTAAGAGGAAATCTGCTTTAAGTGTACAGTAACAAAAAGTATAGGTATAACATCATGCGGACAGTGTGAAATATTTGGGTCCATGAGCAGTACCAATTCCACAATAAACCTCTGTCTGGAAGCACTGTAGGAGGTGTTCTGCATACCTTAATTTCCAGAGGCAAGCCCCCCGAAAGTTTTTGTGGTAAGGTTGGATGAATGAAAGCCAGTTGGCAGAGTTTAATTTGAGCCATGTGATGTTAAGAGGAAGTTCCTTTGAATATGCTTAGGGTCTATTTCCCCTTCCCACTGTGTAACTGCAACTCATTGTTTTCATCTGGAATTTTTTCAATACTTCCATGTTAGAAAACGCAGTTTCCAGGCAAGCTTAAGCTCAGCCCAGCACTTCTCTTTTTATAAATCTGCTATTGCCTGCTTCACTGGATTAAAAAGCAGAGCTGAATGTAAAAGGAAACTTATCTGTGCAGAGGGTGGCATGACATTTAAAGTGGACCACTACCAGCCCATGCTTGTGTTCACAAATAATCCATGGCCGGGGTCACCTCACAGTTGCAACCTAATACACTACATGTGTAAGAAACAACACCCACTTTGAAATGTAAGAGTTTGTAAGTTTCCCACATCCACATGCATGGGGAATCCCCTTTAGAGAACAAAAAATCCCTCCAGATTTATGTTTATGTTACTGGAACACATCTGAGATATTAAAAATGCTAAAAAAGAAAAAGAAAGCGGGGTGGTTCTCCCCATAGGTCAAATGCTGCTTATCCTTTGGACAGGCAGAGGTGTGTGCATGACTGTATATGATACAACTCCCATGATCCCTAGCTAGCAGGACCAGTGGTTCAGAATGATGGGAATTGTAGTCCCAAAACATCTGGAGGGCCGAGGTTGAGGAAGCCTGTGATAGAGGGAGAGATATGGAGATGGAAGACTAGAGACGTATGATGCATTGCGAGTGGAAAGTAACATTCCCTCCAGCATTTTGCAGATGGAAACTGGGTATTTGCATCACTTATTCTAACAGAGCAGGTGATGTAAGAATAACTAACTCCCCTGCCTGCACATCACCCCACCCCAGTATATGGTTGCTGGTTCTTCTCCCTCAACTATAGATTGTAAATTGACCGGTTGCCTTGTAAAAATTAATGGAATGTTTAGTCTTGCAGTGGAGCTGGCTGTAGTGTTAGTGTTGCAACTTGAATGAACTTATATCAATGTGCACTGGAATATATATCTATATTCCCACTCAGATGTTTAATTTGGGGGGGGGGTCCAGGATAGAAGTTAAACCTAAATACTGGGTTTATGCTAAAAATGGGTTGTGTGACTAGATCCTGTGCAAACATCTCAAAACAGCTAAAATGATGCTTAAGACATCTTCCAGACCCCCCACCCAGTATGCTTGCCTCTTTCAGCAATCCATTCATGAGGAGGGCAGGTAGAATTCAAACAAAACAGGGAGAGAGAAAACAAAATTGGGCCACAAGTTGCAAGCAGCCAGGCATGGAGTTATTTGGGCGAAGGTTATTTTTCACCCAGGAGGAATGTACGGTGGTTGAGAACAGCGCTTCGCCCTCACAATCCACATGCACCCGTGAGCTCTTTTGAACGTCTGACATCCAGGAAGCGAGCAAGAATAAAACACCGTTGAGTCTGAACAGTCGTGGTTTTTGTTTTTAAGGGTGACTGCTGCTTGCTTCCTGAGAGGGTTCCTCCTTCCCTCCCTTCTTCTTTAAATTTAGAGAGGGCTCCCTTCCCCTCCTTTCGTTCGACGAGTTACGCCCGGGGAAATTTCCCTTCACCTCGGAGCCCAGCCCTTCCTCTCAGCCTCGTGCTTGTGAGAGGCCCAGCAGCGCCCACTTGGCCGCCCCGGAGCCACTTCCTTCGCCGGAGAGGAGCTCGCGGCAGCTGAGCAGAGGCGGGCTCGCCCCACGGCTTGCCTGCTTGCCTTGCCTGCGTGAGCCACCCGTGTAGTCCCTGAGCGCGCTTCCTTGACCCCTCTCGCCTCGCCTGGACGCCGGGCAGGCCAAGGCCAGCAGCCAAGGTAAGCCTCGGGGGTCTTGCTGGGCTTTGTGGGGCGCATAGACTGGAACTGCATTTCCCCTTCCTCCTATCGCAGCAGAGCGGGGTGGATTGGGTTTGGGGGGGGGGTAAGCCCCTTATTAGGAGGGGGACCTAAATTTTATTAGTCGTGGGGTCAAGGGCGAAGATGAGAAGACTTGTCCCTAAAGCAATGGTTCCCAACCCTTTTTTGGCCATGCCCCACCTAAGCACCTCTAAAATCTTGATTCTCCCCCCACCCCCGTTTTATTGTACAGTGGTACCTTGGGTTACAGACGCTTTAGGTTACAGACTCCACTAACCCAGAAATAGTACCTCGGGTTAAGATTTTGCTTCAGGATGAGAACAGAAATTGCACACGGCAGCTGGAGGCACCAGTAGTTAAAGTGGTGCTTCAGGTTAAAAACAGTTTCAGATTAAGAATGGACCTCCAGAACGAATTAAGTACTTAACCCGAGGTACCACTGTATTGTATTTAAAATATTTTGTTGGAAGCCGCCCAGAGTGGCTGGGGAAGCCCAGCCAGATGGGCAGGGTATGTATGTATGTATGTACAAGCAAACAAACAAACAAACAAACAAATTATTATTATTATTATTATTATTATTATTATTACTACTACAACTACTACTACTACTACTACTACTACTACTGTGACATGGGGACGCGGGTGGTGCTGTGGGTTAAACCACAGAACCTAGGACTTGTCGATCAGAAGGTTGGCGGTTCGAATCCCTGCGATGGGGTGAGCTCCCGTTGCTCGGTCCCTGCTCCTGCCAACCTAGCAGTTCAAAAGCACATCAAAGTGCAAGTAGATAAATCGGTACCGCTCCGGTGGGAAGGTAAACGGCGTTTCTCTGGTTCGCCAGAAGCGGCTTAGTCATGCTGGCCATATGACCTGGAAGCTGTATGTTGGCTCCCTCTCAGTGGCGTAGCGTGGGGGGTGCAGGGGGGGTGGCCGCACCGGGCGCAACATCTGGGGTTAGGGCAAATCCACAGGTTAGGGGGCGCAAATCCACAGGTTAGGGGGCGCAAATCCACGGGTTAGGGGGCGCAAATTACTTGCCTTGCCCCGGGTGCTGACAACCCACGCTACGCCACTGCTCCCTCTGCCAATTAAGCGAGATGAGCACTGCAACTCCAGAGTTGTCCGCGACTGGACCTATTGGTCAGGGGTCCCTTTACCTTTACCTTTACTGTGACATGTAATTCTTACTATTCAAAAGGTGAACTCCAATTCACGTGGAGAAAGCCTAAAAGGCCATTAACTGTTAATAACTCATTCTCAAATTTCCCCCCTTAAAAATCAAACACACACACACACACCCCGTTGGGAACCATGGCCCTAAAGGCAGCTGGACCTAATAGGCAGAGAGGCTCTTTCCTTCACCAGAAAAAAAAGGATTTGAATGAGGAGGAGCAGGAAATTAAAAGTCAGAAAGAGTTCATGGCTGTCTCCAGCACCCTTTGGGTTTCCACCTTTCTTTTTGGGGAACAGGGGTTCATATACAACGTAATGCTCCGAGGGTGATTTTCTCTCCCTCATCCTTGGCTAGAGATGAAAATGAACATTTTCCAGGATCATTCTAGACCATTCACTCAACAACCATCATGCTATTTTTTTAAAAAATTGAATACCGTATATATGAAAAATACACACCAAAAGCAATGACAGTCTTTAAAAAGTCCGCTCCTTTCCCTAGGTCCACTAAAGAAAATTTATTGTAGGATAGAAATTACTTTTTATCTCTGTCTTATAGGTACTGTCTCCAGAGAATATCAATAATATCAGTAACAGTATGTGGCTGCTATTTTCTTTTATGGCATTGTTTGGTTGGGTGGATTTTCATTGATTTGGAAGGGCCTTACTGGGCATTGCAGGTCACCTTTTGAGGCTTGGCACAGGCTGTATAGCATATTTTAAACAAATAGATTTCTGGACATGTCTTGAGTGTTTTTCCTCAAGTGTACATGAAACAGTTTTTCTTTACCCCTCCTTTTTCCTACCCCCCCCGCCTCCTGCAAACTCTGATAATTGGCTTTCAGTCAGCATCACTAAGCGTCTCTGATTTTAAAACTTGAGTTCTGCTTAAGAATCTAATTTAAAAGTTGTTTGAGTATATAGGTGGAGAAGGGTTGAAAAGGTGGCTCAGTTTCCTCATAACAACCTCTCTTCTGTGGCTGGTTTGTAAAGATTTTGTATGCTCGTTTCTCTACCCCTCTCAGCATTCTCAGTTCTCTACAGTGGTTTTGCCAGCTCTGCAAAACTTCCTGCCACAGAAACTTGCAATCGCTGGTAGAGGCCGGAATAGCATACCTTCTTGCAACACAGGGGGAAGAACCCACAGTGTTGACTTACCACACCTAAAGTTTCTTTTTAAAAAAGCTGTGTAAAAAAGAACAAGCAGAGTTTTCTTATTATAAAGTGTTATAAGAAAAATACTGCTCATTTTACCTTATGGGGTATCGATGTGCCCATATAGAGTGCCTATCGGAAGGAGTAAGTAACGGAGGCCATCGAGAGAATCTTGAGAAGCAAGGCAATTAGTAACCCTGATCTTTATTAATTGTTGCAACAGGGTGCTCACAACCACACACAGGAGGCAGGAGGGACCCAGAACAATGGTGTGCAAGTCCTTATATCGACCTTTGAAATTGCCCACCCTGTAGCTCAAGACCACCCCCCAAAACATCATACCTACATCACAGGAGGCAGGCTACAGCAGAAATACGTCACGGGGTGGTCTACAACAGAAATGCTGTCTGGCAAGATACTAATACAGTGGAACCTCAGGTTGCGAATGTGATCCGTGCGGGAGGCACATTCGCAACCTGTTGCATTTGCGCACGTGCGGGTCGCAATTTGGCGTTTGTGCGCAAAGTGCAATTTAGTGCTTCTGCGCATGCGTGAGCACTGAAACCCGGAAGTAACCCATTTCGGTATTTCCAGTTTTGGCGCGGTGCGCAACCCGAAATCGCATAACCTGAAGCGTCTGTAACCTGAGGTACCACTGTAGTGGTCACTTGATTGCTTTACCTGGGCAGCCTGGCCATTCCTTTTGAGATGCTAAATAGTTCCTAAATCCAGGTCACAGACTCGCCCTATTCATGCACAAATACACCCTTAAGACAGGGTTTGTGAGCAAAGAGACAATGGGGAGGCTTTTCCCATTTCCTTCCTCACTGCAGAGAATATTTGAGGTCACTGGAAGAGTCAAAATGGCTACAGGATTGCTCTCCTGTACTATTTCAGACATGTGGTTTATATACTTATGTATGTATTTGGACATAAAAATAAAAAAGGGACTGCCCCTTTTCCTATGAGAGCATAAGAGTTATTCTCTTATTTCAGATCACCACAGAAACACTGTATTCAAGAGAACAACTACTTCTTCTCTACCCTGTTCCCATTATTTATGTAGCTATCTGTCTATCTAAGAAAATGTATATGCTGCTTGATTGTAATAATACCTCTTGATGGTTTACAAAACACATGCTACACACATATAAACATCACACACAAACACACACACAACTACCTCATGTGTATGACTGTTCACAGATCATATGTATATTGTAATAACAACCAGTTAAGCCAATTGAAGTTCAAGCAGAGCATCTAGGGAACAAACAATGTTTCCCCACCTTTTGCAAAAGTACACAATTGGAACTACCTGTATTGAAGACCTGGAAAAACCATTCAGCTATGGGGCACATCTGCATAGAAGTTTCCTGGACTGGTATCTAAAAGTCATAGGCATATAGAAAGACTGTCCATCTAGCATACATTGTCCTCCTCCTTCTGTTAAAAAAGTGGAGGTGCCAGGGATTGAATTTAAGACCTTCTGCAAGCAAAGCATGTGGCCTGTCGCTGACCCACGAAGCTGGACTCAGTTCAGTTCACCAGTCATGTACTGTGTGTGAGAGAGACACAAATTTGCAGAACCTGGCTTTTAGCACCTTGGTATTTTTCTATAAGATTGCTGACTCCAAAGAAAAATATGTTCATACTCCTTTTCCATGAGGCATGGATTGTATTGGATTTAGAATGGAAAAGCATAAGCACACTTGTGGCCTCAGTACAATTGAGTAAAGATATTACAAAACCTTGATTGCTTATTTCCTGCTTTGTCGGCATTGGACATTATTCTGGAGCAGAAAAGAAAGAAGCTGGATTCTGTATTTTTCTCAAAAACTGCACTTGCATCCAGAGGCTTTCAGAGCTGAGCAGCCATCAGGCACTGAGAACGTGTTACAGAGAAAGTACACTAAGGACAAATAGGCAGAAGTTTCACCACACTTGCTGGGAATATCTACTGAAGTTTGTCCAAAACAGCTAGCTTCCATTTTGCAGGCTAGATGTAATGTGCACATTCTTCAGTCTATGCTTACCTTTATGGCTCCTAAGAACTGTCTCAGACTAGAGATGCCTGCTTCTCTCTTCCCGCAAATTTCCCCTCTAGTTCTAGTCCTGACGGTGTACCATAGCCTTGGACCAGAAGTGCAGGAAGCTTGAGTCAGTTAATATTATTGCCCAGGATCAGTATTCTATGCATTCCAGATAAATGTTGTTGCTGCTTTGCATACTGAGATGAAAACTGATGTTCAAAATAGAATTACCGTATTTTTCGCTCTATAAGACACACCAAGTTTTTGGAGGAGGAAAACAAGAAAAAAAAATATTCTGAATCCCAGAAGCCAGAACAGCAAGAGGGATCGCTGCGCAGCAAAAGCAGCAATCCCTCTTGCTGTTTTGGCTTCTGGGATAGCTGTGCAGCCTGTATTTGCTCCATAAGATGCACACACATTTCCCCTTACTTTTTAGGAGGGAAAAAGTGAGTCTTATAGAGCAAAAAATACGGTAAATAATTGCCTACCTGGTGCTTGTTTGAGGATGCCTTCTTATTTTACTTTTCTGGAGAATTGTGTGTTTTTCAGTTCCTCCTTCCTTATTAGAATTGGGACAGAGGAACCAGTTTAAAT